GGGTTTACGTACAATCACGCCCAGGAGACGCTTTCTCACCTCCTGGGGCAGGGCGGAGACCGCACCTGCATCTGAGACCCAGCAATGCAGCTGGCGTGGGGCATCAGGTAGGGAAGCACGGAGCTGGCGCAGGGGGTGCCCGCTTTCTACACTAATGAAAGGGGTCAGATGAAACCTGAGAGGGCCTCTGTGGAAGTTAAATAAAACATATAGCGCCTGGCGTCCTGCCCCGTCCCTCATGTCAGATGAGCTCACAAAACTTTACAGAGAGACACTGTCATCCTCCTTCTCGCCTTATCTCAAAAATAAATAAATAAAACAAACAAAAACACACACACACAAACAAACAAACAAAAACAGGGCTGGATAGAGCAGGGTCTCAAAACAAAACAAAAAAAAACCAACCATAAAACCAGGGCAAATAGGCCCTCCCGTCGCAGCTGCGATTCCCACGGCCACGGCACCCACCTGAGAGCACAGGCCTCCAGGCCTCCACAGACACACACGTCTGCCAGTCGCCTCTCAGGGACCCAGGCGTGCAGGCACCCCTGCTCTTTTAGCTCACGCTGTCAACTGCAGACAACCCCAAATCACCCCACCCCAGATCCTTCAGGCCTGAAACTGTCTCCACAGTGGCCAGAAGAATTATTTTTCAGTGAAAATTTCTAATAATTTAGAAAAGGTAAAAATGTTGAAAGAAGTTAAAAACAAGAAGTCACCATGACGGCGCCCAGAATGAAAGGCTTTCCTGGAGAACTCGGACGCTCCTCAAGTTCAAAGTCAAACCAGCAGCAGCAGCAGCAAGGTTTACAATCCTAAACCCTGTAAGCTTCCAGGGTCATCTCTTCTGTACTTCACCATCACTGCAGCCTCACCACTGGGCAGCTCAGCCGCACACACACACCACACACACACACACCCCACACACACCACACACTCACACAACACACACACCACACACCACACACACACCTCACACCACACACACACACACCACACACACACCACACACACACCACACACACATCCACACACACACCACACACACCCACACACCCACACATCCACACACCACACACACCACACACACACACCACACACCCATCCACACACACCACATACCTCCACACCAGTCACACATACCACCACACACTACATATCCCCACACACACACCACACACCACACACCACATACACACCACACACACCACACACACACATCACACACACACCACACACACACACACACACCACACACACCACACACACACTACACACAACCCACACACACTACACACACACACACTCACACAACACACATCACACACACCACATACCTGCACATGATCACACCCACACTACATATCCCCACACCACACACACTCCACACACACACCACATACACACACCACACACACCACACACATCACACACACACATCACACACACCACACACACACCACACACACCACACACACACACACACACACACACACACACTACACACACCACACACTCACACAACACACACATCCCACACACACCGCACCTCCACACACACCAGTCACACACACCACACACTACATATCCCCCCCACACACACACACATACACACACACATACACACATACATACACACCACACACACACACCACACACACACCACACACACTCACACACACACACTCCACACACTACACCACACACTCACTAGCACACACACATCCCACACACACCACATACCTCACACCAGTCCACCACACACACTACATATTCCCACACACACACCACACACACACCACACACACACCACACACACACACACATCACACACACATCACACACACACCACACACACACCACACACACACACACACCACACATACACACACCACACACCACACCTCTGCTTACACACATCCACACCACACACACCTCACACACACCACACAGTCACACACACCTCACACACCACACACACACACCACATACCTCACACACACCCAGTGCACACACCACATACACTACATATCCCCCACACACACACCACACACATCCTACACACACACGCACCTCACACATGATCCACACCACACACCTCATATCTCCCCCCACACATCACACACACTACACATACCACACACACCACACACACCACACGCATCACACACACATCACACACATACCACACACACACCACACACATCACACACACACACACCACACACAACACACACCCTACACCACACATCACACAACACACACACATCCACACACACCACACATACACTACACACACCACAACACACACATCCACACCACACCTCCACCACACAGTCACACACACCACACACACTACACATACCACACACACAACTTTTTTTTACACACCACACACACCTCACACACACACCACATACCTCACACACACACCAGTCCACACACCACACCACATATCCCCACGCACACACACACATCCACACACCCGCTTCACACACCACACGCATCACACACACACCACACACACACCACACACACACTACACACAACACACACACACACCACACTTACACCTACACACACACCACACTACCCCAACACACACACACAACACACACACTGCACACACCACACTGCTTTTCCCCACACACACCACACCACGCACCACACACACATCACACACCACACACATATTACACACTCACACACCACACACATCCCCACAGTCACCGCACCACACACACATATCACTGGACCCCACCCACACCTGACACACACATACACACACACACACACCACACACACTTTACATACTCATATACCAGCGCTCACACCCCCACACACATCACACACATATGGAAACATTCTGAGACGATACACTCATACACCATGCTCCACACATAATACAAATACCACACACCACACCACACTCAGACACCACACACCATTCACACATACCACACACCATGCTCACCCACGACCACACACACCACACACACTATACACCACAATTACACACAATGCACTCACACATACACCACACTACTCTCACACACCACCCTCACACACACCACTCACACATCACCACACTCATACATACCACACATATACACACCACACTTACCCACACAAGACAAGCACACACACCACACTCTTTCACACCACACAGTGCAGAGCAGGATCTTCCTGCAAGCGTGGAAGTTTGGAGTTCCCAGTCCTCCAGTTCCTGGGGATCTAAACTTAGTTTTTGCTTGGAAATTTCGCCAGGAGAGGAAGTTTAATGGGTTCAAGAAGGAAGAGGCGAGCGGGGATGCCAGCATCCCAGTGGAAGGCGAGACTGATCCCGTGCCGCGGCACTCCGGGATCCATGAGAGGGTGCCCTGCCCTGAGCCCCGACTGCCCGCTCTGGGCGCGCTTCTCACGCAGCCTTCAGAAGCGAGGTCCCGCACAGGCAGGCTCGCGGGCCCTTCCTCCGGGACCCCTCTTCCAGGAATCTCGGGAGGCCTTCGGCGCAGCGGGCTGAAGGGCAAGGTCGGCGAAGGACGGTGAACGTGGCGAAACAAAGTCGTGACTCAGAGTGCTTCTCTTGAGGATCGGCTGAGCACGCTGGACATCACACTCCCGGCCCCCAGCTCCCGGCCCGATTCTTGGATCAGTCCTTGAAAGTGGCCCCCGCCGGCCCGAGCTGTGCCGAAACCCGGAAGGCTCCTTCCAGGCCGAAGGCATCTATAGGCTGCCTCCCCTTCCCCAGATCGCGCGCTAGCGGGGTTAAATGGGGTCTGAAAGCTTGGGCTGGGGCCGCGGCCTGCCGAGATCCGGCAGGGTCCATGCGGGGCCCCGCAGGCGCCAGGCTCACACCCGCGCCCAGCCCCGCCCGGCTCCCCGGCCCGGCCTGCACCCCCGCAGCCCCCTAGCCCAGCCGGCCCGGCGCGCACGCAGTCCCCAGCGGCCGCGTCGCCGCGGGAGCGGGCGGCGGGAACGTCGGCCTGAGCAAGCCGGCGGCTCCTGCGCCTCCCCCCTCCCGGCCGGCGGTGCCCTCCGCGCCGGCGCTCTGCTGCTCAGGCGGGGCAGCAGCCTCTGCAATGTCAGCAGCCGCCAGCGGCGGCGGCGACGCGAGCGGCAGCGGCCGGGCCCGCGGTAGCCGCCAGCGGCGGCACGGCCGCAGGGCGCCAGGCGCGAGCCCGCGGCCGCTAGCTGCCTCCGGGCACTGCGGGCGGCTTTGCGCGCTCCGGCGCAGCGTTTCGGACTCCAGACCGGCGCGGCCACCGCCGCGCGCAAAGGACCCAGCAGACGCGCCGGGACTCGAGGGCTGTGCCGGGGACCAGCCGGGGACCCCGCCCGAGCCGCGTCCCACTCACGCCTCCTGCCCGGGTGGCCGGAGAGCGAGCGGAGCAGGCCCCGTCATATGACGGCGGCGACGCCTGACGGCGGCGCCGTGCTGCCTCTCCGCGCCACGGCCGCCAGCTCTTGGGAGTAGCCCGCTTGCCCCTCACCCCCGCTGAGCGGTCGCCCGCCGCTAGCCGCCCCACTCCCCAGCGCCAGGCTCGCCAGCTCGGGGAGAGCCGACAAAACCCCAGCCGGCGCCGAGCCTAAAATGGCCAGCTGCTGCGGAGATCAGGCTTATCCGCCTGCATAACCAGGACACCGAGGACCCCAAGCACCACCACAACCACCATGGCCCGGCGTGGCAGAGCGCGTCTCTGCGCGCGGCAAGGCAGCGCCAAGGCAGCAGGCACAAACAACAGCAGCAGCAGCCCCAGCAGCAGCAGCACCCGGGCGCGTAGGCGCGCCAGCCCGGGGCCGCAGGCAGCCTTGCCGTGGAGCTGGCCCCGCGCGACAAGGCGCCAGCCAGCCTGGCAAGCAGCAGCGGCAGCGGGGCAGAGGCCCCGCGAGAGGGCGGCGGAGCGCCAGGGCAGAGGCGGGCCCGGCCGGTGGCGAGCGGCGGCGGCAGCCTGGTCCTGCGGCGCGCCAGCAACACTGCCTGGAGTGCGCAACCGGCAGCTCACTGCACGCAGGTGCGCAGCCGGCGGCTCATGAAGGAGCTGCAGGACATCGCGCGCCTTAGCGACCGCTTCATCTCCGTGGAGCTGGTGGACGAAAGCCTGTTCGACTGGAACGTGAAGCTGCACCAGGTGGACAAGGACTCGGTGCTGTGGCAGGACATGAAGGAAACCAACACCGAGTTCATTCTGCTCAATCTCACCTTCCCCGACAACTTCCCCTTCTCGCCGCCCTTCATGCGGGTGCTCAGCCCGCGCCTGGAGAACGGCTACGTGTTGGACGGCGGCGCCATCTGCATGGAGCTGCTCACGCCGCGCGGCTGGTCCAGCGCCTACACCGTGGAGGCCGTCATGCGCCAGTTCGCAGCTAGCTTGGTCAAGGGCCAGGTAAGGCGCGCGCGCCAGAGCGGCGGGGCTGGGGGCGCGGGGCGGCAATCGGGTCTGCAGCGCCGCCGGGCGCCCGGGCCCCGAGATGAGGGCCTGCGTGGGCCTCTCCGGCCATCTAGCTCCCGGCTCTGTCTACACCAGCGCCCCACGGGGATGCTCCGAGCGCCTCCGCCTCTTTTCCCTGAGCGTTTTCTTCCTGCCCCTGCTTTCCGTCCCGTCTCTCCTGTCCCGGTCTGGTCTCGGTCTCTGCTGGTCTCTCCGGTCTCTCTAGCTTGCTCGTTCTCTCCTCATCCCTCCATAATTCTCTCCCACCCCTCTTCCTTAGCCTCCCTCTCCCATGCCGTCCTCTCCCTTTCCTCCTGGACTCTTTCTCCCCTCACCCCTTTCTCTGTCCCCCCATCTATTCCTACCCCCATTCCTTTTCCATTTTTTCCTTCTCCACCTTCCCTGGCTCCGCTACTCTTCTTTCTCCTCCATCTCCCCTTTTCTCGCCCCTCCCTTGTCTGCTCCTCAATCTCCTGTCCCTATAATCTCTATGAAGGTGAGAACTTTTCTTGGACCTCAGGATTTAAGTGTCCAACCCAGCTGATCTCCCACCCACCCCCAACACCCCCTACACACACACACACACACACACACACACACACACACACACACACAGTTCCGCAGAAGGCTCGGGTGGGAGGTCTGCAGGTGGGTGCCCTGGGGAGGGACAGCTGCCTGCTTGTAAATCCGCCCCCTGCCTTCTTCTGGGCTGCCTCTCCTGGAAAGGTGAAAATTTTGCTCTTGGGAGCTCACTCTAGAGAGGCGGAGGTGTGGTTTGGGCATTCCCTTAAGGGACAAGACCAGACCCCGTCACGGCAATGCCTGTTCTTCCCTCAGAGCACCCCGTTCCTTCCCCGAACCCCTTAGAACCACCACCTCTGGGGTAGACGATCCAGGTCTTGGTCTCTTTCAGACCTGCTTCTTTTTCCTTATCCCCTCACCCCACTGCCCCAAGCAGTTAAAACCCTTTATCAGAGCTAAAGATTTTAACGCAATACCAATATAAGGGCCAAACAGTTCTGAGTGTTCTCACCTATTGCATCAGATGGCAGCTTCACGCAAAGAAACCCCAAAGTACTTGAGAGCAGGGTGAGTGCGTGATGGTGTTATCTGCTCGAATTATATGCTGTCGGCTGCGGTTGAGTTCTCTGGTGTTTTCCTGAATCAATATTAAGCATTACTTAAGAACATTACATTGCTATGTGGACATCTTTTAGATTTATGAAAAATCATTGTTTTCTTTAAAAGACCCCGAATGACCTCGGCTTGATCTTTCTACAGGCGGCCGGCCTATCAGAAGCCACGCTTCTTCCCTGCCTGGCCTGTGTGTCTGTCCCTTTCACTGCAGGCCGTTTCATACTAATGAAATAATGCTTGTTCTGCCAATTTCACTAAAGCTGGAACCCCTGGGATTCCAAACAAATAGCATCCTAACTCCAGCAGAGAAGGTCTGGTAATTCCTGACCCATCCTGCCAGGCTCTCTTTTCTAAGGTTTAGATTCCACATATTTCCTGAGTTAGAAATCGCGTGGATGTAACAACTCTAGAAAAACATCTTCAGCTGAGGGAGGCTTAGTGCTTTAATATCAGAGGTTTGTTTTCCATCCTGCAGTTAAATGTTGAGTCTGATGAGAGGTTCATGTGATAGAATGTAAGCATGGGGGTAGGCGATCTCAGTTTTATTTTTCAAATAGGATTTATACAAATGATGTGGAAGAATTCTTTGCAGAAATGCCTTGGTTATTTGCTTCTTGAATCATGGCTAATCAGAATTCTTTGGAACAGTCTGTTATTGTTTTTCATTCTCCACAGTGAAGATGACATTGGGGATCAGGGGAAGAGGAATGTGTATTCCCTTCTGGGATCACAGAGTCCTAACGTTTAAGACTTGGAAGAGATCTTAGAGATGATCTGGACCACTGCCTATGTTTTGAAAGATGAAAGAAAATAAAGGTTTGAAATGAGAAATGGGGAATTTTTTTTAAGAGAGAGAGGAACCTTAGGAAATTAAATGCTTCCCATTTTTACATTAATGCTCTGAGTTGTAATAGTTCCTTTGGTGCCCATATGCCAATTGGCAGTATATCAATACACGGGTCCTTGTAAGTATATTTTCTTTTCTCTGTATTTAAAATTGAGATTCTCATGTACAATTTACAAGTGAGAGATTTATTTATTGAAAGTAATTATCAACTTTTTCATTTCTTAGTTTAATAAAATCCTAATCGAACCCATTGCCCTCCACCTAGCATATGGTATTATATTGTCTATTCCACATCTAAAATAGAGGCAAAAACTCAGCACTTTTTAAAGTGCCGGTTCAATTTCTTTGCATTTTTTCATGCTGCTTCCAACATACAGCTGTCTAAGAGAGAGTAATATGTGGCATACATAAAATATTCAAAATGCAATGAAAGAAAGGAAGAAATGAATAGTCATTAATGTTTTAGGATTCCATCCACAAAAGGATTCTGACGGTGTTTCAGGTCACCTGAGGTTGATTGTCTCTTTCCGTGCTTTTGCAAATTCACTACCTACTGGTTGTTCAGAGCACATGCGGTAGTTACCAGATTATTTCCTCAGTTAGAGGTAATATGCTTTGGGAAAGCAATCAAAATACCTGATTAGGTATTCAAGGAGAACTGGGACAGCTACCAAACCGATAAGTACTTTAAAAGGGAGAGTCGTTATATTCCAGTTATGTTCTGATACTTGTCGGGATTTCTTTTTTAGGATTCATTTTCATAAGCTACAGAGTTAGAAAAGGCTGGTTTGCTTCTTTCATAGAGGAAAACATTCACTGCTCAGCTGAACTTTCTGAATTGAGGATATGCTGTTTCTGTACTTCTAGAGAAATCGTAAAACAATTTTAAGAGTTTTGTGTGTAACATAAAAATATCTGCTTAACAATTTTGTGTACAATTAAAAGCTTAGGTTTATCACATCATGTGATAAATTCAGTCATTTTGCGAGGCTCTTAACTGGCTCTCTGGCCTGTGTTACCAAAATCTCTTGCATGTTGCTATACGAATTGTGTTTGTCTTAAATTAATATATAAATTTCCCATATGATATATTCTATGTAGAAATAATGATATACATATCTTCCCCCTTTGTATATTACTAAACCCTCTTTTGACTAGAGGCATTTTTAGGTAACTCTTCATTTTTTATAATTGGATTTTAAAGCTCTGTACTTTTAGAATGAACTGGTGAAAATGTTAAAAGTATACTTTTAGATAATTATTTGCATCCTTTATTAATTTCTGAACCAAAAGAATACAATCCACAGCTCCATTGTAAGATTTTTGGCATTCAAAAACTGGAAGATGTTGGTTTTGAAATGAAAGTAGCCTGTAATCCCAGCACAGTGCTTGCATCTAGGACATAGCTTAACCTACAAAAACTGCATTTTCAGACTCTGTAAACCTAGACAAAGTAGCATCAGCGTTGGGGGATGCTGGCTGTGAAGAGTGCCAGAGTTTACTGGCTTCCATTCCAGGCTTGGAGCGTGGGACGATGGTGTGACTGGCCGGGGACCTTGTTCTTGCAGTTGTGTGAGCAGCGGGGTCCCCAAAAGCTGCTTGACGGTGCACTGACTCAGAGCCCTGCTTTCACTGCAGCTCACCTCCTGAGTGTCCCCTTTTTAGTTAATTAGGCATCGCCAGGGGCAGGGAACCAAATGGCAATTGAGTGACAATTCCTCACTCCTCTCCTGGCCCCTCAGAGCCAACCATACAATTGGGCATGACACGGTGTTGACAATGATAACTGCAGCAGCAGCAGCAGGAAGCATTTCGTACTTGCTTGTGCCATACTCTGGGCCAGCAGAGAATGGAGGATGTTTGAAGATGTTTGAACCTCCCTGGTTCTGCTCTTTTGGTGGTTGTTGTACAGGTGAGGAAACCTGTAGTTTCACAGAGTCAGGTGGCGTTTATACAGTTGCATGCTCTCACAACAGCTCATGAGTGGCAAGGCTCTGAAATCTCATCAGGATGAGTAAAAGCTGTTGGAAATGGCAGTCAGGCCAGGCGCCATCCAAGCACCTTGCTGTTTCCAGGCAGTCGTTTATTAACCGTGACCATCGTGATAATCCTTTCTGTCCACAGAGAAGAGCTGCTCAGCCAGCCATCCGCAGAAGATTCACAGAACATCAGGACTAAAATATCCTCCAGTCTTACTGTTTGAATTTAAAATTGGCAAGCAATTTCAGGGCAAGTTCTGTTTGCCTGATGATTTCTGCATGTATTTTAATAAAGAAAACTTGTCCCAGTGTAATGAAAGAGTAAAGGGCTCTGCAGCTCAGCTTTGTGAAATGATAGGTAGTGATGTCACTAAAATCCACCTTAGGTCTGAAAGGGGGCTACACTATGGTGTGACTGGGAAGCACAAGTACACATAGACGTGCACACACACACACAGACATACATAAAGCCCATCTTCCAAAATACTAGGCCTAGAAATAGCACTTTACTTATGACTATAAGACTAGCAGTCTCATCAGAAAGAGTGACAAAGATGAACAGCCCTTTGGGCTCCTAAAATCTGTGGGCGTCTAACCTGCTATAACAGAGATTTCTTTTTGAGACAGGGTCCCCTCTGTCACCCAGGCTGGAGTGCAGTGGCATGATCATAGCTCACTGTAATATTTAATTCCTGGGTTCAAGCAATCCTCCCATCTCAGCCTCCCAAGTAGCTGGGACTGCAGGTGCACGCCACCATGCCCAGTTAATTTTGTTTATTTTTTGTAGAGATGGGGATCTCACTATGTTGCCCAGGCTGGTCTCAAATTCCTGGGCTCAAGCAGTCCTCCCACCTCGGCCTCCCAGAGCATGGGTCTTACAGGCATGAGCCACCTCGCCCAGCCATACAACACACAAACTGTTTAAAGGCCCTGTATTAGGTTGCTGGGGCTGCCATAACAGAGGACCTGGAAGTCCAAGATCAATGTGTCAG